GTCGGCGAAAATGTTTTTGTGATGACCAGTTTTTGATTTTTTAATGATGAGTGATTTTGAGGTCACAATTGACCTTTAGGTGACCTTTTGTTGCACCTGGACTTCAAGTTGAAATGATGCAGCAGCCACACAAAAAAAACACAAAAAAAACACACAAAAAAAATAGAGAATCCTTTTTTCACCACTCATTACTGTTCGTCGTTAACTGGGTTAGTAATCATTTAATTATCTATTTAGACAAAGGTGTATGAAAAGCTGCACAGAAGTTGTTGACTCATGAGTGATATTAAGACACCATGACCTCTGGCGTCTTTGAAAAGTTTCGACAAATTAGTCACAAAACTGTTGACCTGGACCGTGCGCATCATTTTAGTGCTTCGAATTTAGCTAGAGACGACTTCAAACGTACCTGGAAAGACTCGAATGGTCCGATTATATCAGATTGCAGGCATCTCGAATTGGTCCAAACAAAAGAAGGCCCCAACTTCAACCCAGATCAACCTAGCACCTACGAGTTGATGATCAACGCGAATAACCTCAATGGCGGCGTTGTGCATACGGAAAAATTACCGGTGCGTAACTTTGATTTAATAGAGCATCTAGAAGACGAGGTAGTTTTGAACCAAATCCTTAAAACGACTGAAAACTCTCTGAATGGATTTTTATTTCAAGTTGATCTCCATTACTTATCAAGATTAATCTGTAGCTCCTGCCAAAGAAACAGTACCCCATGATTGGTTGAGACCCTACCAAACAAATTTACACGGGTAGATGAGAAATCAAGAAATCGCAAGACGTTCTATTGGTAAGACCAAGAAGTCACTGCAGACGTTGCATGACAAGTCAAACTATACATTTCGTTAAAAGCTTCTGCAATTGTATTTTGGGTTGGGATTGAAATATCAAAAAGTGCACTGTGTCCTGAAGTTTGAACAAGAAGCATGGTTGGAACCATATATCACTCTGAACACGACTAAACGCCAACAAGCTAGAAACAAATTTGAGGAGGATTTGTACAATTTTCTAAAGCACTGTGCTGATGGGAGAACTTGCGAGTCAAAGCCCAAACAGATGCTCGTTCGGATATTTGAAGATTATTAAGCCACCTTGCGAGAAATTATCGGATTCGAGTTCAAATCCAACAAAAATTTTAAGGAAAATTTGACAGTGTTCACTTCGAGTTCAACAAAAAATGTTAGAATGGGCCAACAATGTTGGAAGCTAGTGTTCCTGATTTAAAAAAGTTTCACATATATAAGTTTCATTACGACATAATGAAATTAATTTTTGAATTTCAACTTCGCTATTTCTATGAAATTTGATTTGGAATTTTGTTCTAGTTTTTTTTTCAATGGGCGATTATGGATTTTAGCTTTTTTTGTGGTTGAATGTCGGATTTTCATTTTTTTAAGAAAACAATTTTTTGTCGCCGAAAAATTTTTATGGCAAAAAATATGTTTTAGTTGAAAATTTTTTTTTTGCGTGCAGAAATTTTTTTGGGAGGGGGGAAGTCTCTCGTTTTTTTTGGTCATTGAAATTCAACTTAAATTCGAAATAAAATTATTTGGTTGGGGATTTTTTTTTTGAAAAAGAAGTTAGTTTGTTTTTATGGTCGGAAAAGTTTAATTTGTTTTGAAAAAAGTTTTTGTTGAGCGGGTAAGTTTAAATTTTTTGAAAACAAAAGTTTTGGTCGGCGAAAATGTTTTTGTGATGACCAGTTTTTGATTTTTTAATGATGAGTGATTTTGAGGTCACAATTGACCTTTAGGTGACCTTTTGTTGCACCTGGACTTCAAGTTGAAATGATGCAGCAGCCACACAAAAAAAACACAAAAAAAACACACAAAAAAAATAGAGAATCCTTTTTTCACCACTCATTACTGTTCGTCGTTAACTGGGTTAGTAATCATTTAATTATCTATTTAGACAAAGGTGTATGAAAAGCTGCACAGAAGTTGTTGACTCATGAGTGATATTAAGACACCATGACCTCTGGCTCGTTTCTCAAAATTGAAAATAGTCGAATCGCATCCGATTCACATCACACAATCTGCAAACGGTGACTTCGACGAAAACATTGTTATCAGCTTTTAACGGCAAACGCTACATCCTCGATAATGGCCAGCAGACACTTCCCTACGGTCGCAAAATCATCGTGGGTGAAACTAAGATTGGCAATGATGATAGTGATGACAACGCCGCCACGGTAAATTCGGGGCGAACTGATGTTGACGGTTTGGAAAAATGGATGCCTTTTTTTGAAGATCGTCAGCAGCCACTGTCTTGGGCTTGTGACGATTTCCTAGATGGGGTTTCTGAAGATTTCAATAACACTCAAAACGTTGATTGGGACCATCCGGAAAATTATGATGTCTACTATGAGTATAGTTTTGCTGATGAAAATAAACAAAGATATCGTTCGCTTCAACAACTGATGGACCAGGTCTTCAACAGTTGGCAAACTCTAGACCCCGGTCTAATGGGTACAGTGATATAGATAGCGGGGACATCGCCGATCTGGAGGCCAATACTTCCGAAAAGGACGAGTAGTCTTTCTTCAACAATTCGTTTTTCGATATTGAAGCAGTTGAGAAAAAAACCACGGTCAAAAAACGAAGAATAGATTAAGAAACAAAAATCCTACATTAACTTTTGTATAGTAAAAAAAAATTCAGTGATTTGATAGGAGAATTGTGTGTACATAAAATTTGACCTACTGCTATTCCGTGTTTAGTGTGTATTTAAGTGCGAGATTTTGTTCCAGTTTTGGAACCCAGTTAATCGGGGATGCATTAAAGGAAAATGTTTCTATCATACTTTTGTAAGTATATGTACGTATTGAATTTGAATCAAAGTTTTATGAAGAATTGAGCAAACAAGAAATAGCCCAGTGAAACATACCAGTTGTTATTGGAACGAAAATTTAGCAATTCGTTTTCAGCAGCAAACAGGTAAGCACAACGTTCAATGGAAATACTCAAGAATAAATCGAAACTTTTCAGGAGGACACTTAGTTACAAAATTATACATGGGAACAATTAAGATTTTTACATGGGGACCATTGGTTGTCAGATAATACATGGTGAAAACTATGATCTATACCTAATGGTCATCCATGGATGACAACTTCCCCCATCAAAGTGTACTAAATGCATACCACTAATAACTGCAAGCCATATTTGTATTCTTAATGAGTTTCTGAAAACCTTGTTTTTTTAGACATGTGCGGAAACAATTTTACAATTTTTAGCTTTTTTCTTTTTTGTTATATCAATTGAAGCCAGCATGAGCACACATCCAGCATCACAGGAGCGTTTTTCGTTTCAATTATCTGATGATATTTTATTCTTGTTTTAAGTTTTGATTTTTTTGCCAGATCGTTTCTGCTGCTTCAATTTCTCCTTCGATATATTGATCTCGGTACTGTCCAGTAAAATCATGAAGGCAGCAAAAAAATTACATATGCGATTTTTTCAAATTGCGCATTTAACATGACTACCATAAAATATTAACAGGAATGTATAGCTCCCTCAATGGTTATAACTCTTTCATCGAGTCAGAAGTTTGTTTCGTAAGTTTTTTATAACTCCAAGCTCCATAGGAAGGCCAAGGAGAGGATGTTGCAAGATTTGAACAGCTTTTATCAAATTTTGCTAGTAAAACAAAGCAAACTGGAATAAGACTGCTCGTATCAGACAAAACAGTGAGTTCTGCTACTGCCATTTAAAGGGCCTCGAACATTTTTAGTAGAATATATATTGGCAAAACTTTGAATTTTAAGCTAATAATATCAAAAACTAAGTTTTGCAGTTTGAGTCGTGTATGCAATTGATAAAAACCGATTAGCTGCTTCAATTTCATTTGGAACGATTTGTAGTGGAATGTAATTCACCACGAGGAAAGTTCATAATGAGAATTTTACTTTGATTTATTGCAGGTTTCTATAATGTTCGCACACCCGACTGTGCCCATGCAGATCAAAAAATTATTCCCCGTGAAAACAGCGTTTTGTACAATTGATCTGAATAAAAAACATCCCGAACACATATATTCCTCGCTTTCTACGAAAGTCGAAACAACAAGCGTTTCCAACCTGCCAACGCCGGTTGTTTATTTTTTTTCTACATGTTTCAATCTCCAAAAAAATAAACTGCCGATCCATATTGGAACCAGTTCAAAACAAGCATTTTATAAATCCAAGTACTTTCTTGATAACTATCACTGTAAAATACTTAGAACTAACCAATCATGAACAATGACTAAAACTATAATTTGTAAGGCTGAAACTATTTATTGTTTCAACCAGAGAAGAATAAATTTAGCTTAGAAAGCAGTTGCTCTTCCTCTCCTCTAACCCCGCAAGAATACCAGTCTATACTAGATCTATTGAGACTAGGAAATGTATGCGTAAGATTAGGATCGGCATAAGAAGTTGCTCGAATCTATCCGGCCGAAAATAAGATGACGAACAGACTGTGTACCCTATTCGAAATTAACTTCCTTTAAGTTCTGATAAAATTACTAACAGATTGTCTAAAAACATTTTGGAAGCACTATTTCTTTGGTACGCGCTACTTTATTTAAATATGCTTCGTAAAATAGTTTTTATAGGAGAAGTTATTTCAGCATCCAAGTAAAAGGCAACTTAAATTATTGTAATTTTTTTCTTTGACTACTCGGAAGGTTTTGAGCAGCCCATGCACAAAATGGCGCATAAACTTCGCCCAATTGTTAATTTGAAAGGTAATAGCCAAAAAAGTAAATCACAAGCCGGACGTTTTGTGGGAAGTGACAACTCGAAGGAAGGAAAGATGAGAAGTATAACTCAATAAATACGCTCAGTATACAGCATTAATGTGTTTCATTCTCTTTTCTGCAATCTGGGTAAACTTCATATAATTTTTTATCTAAATTTTATCGGTTTTTTATATGTATTTTGTTTGAATTTTACTGTATTCATCTTTTCAACAAGCTAATTAATTAAAAATGCAAATTTTCAGCTATTCTGGATGCCGTAAAGGTAGAATACGATTCTTTTGATCGTCAGATTGATTGGTGGCCGGGACAAATTGTGTTTTGGGCCAGTCTGCTGACCATGAAAGTGTCTTGTTCATTTGAGATTTCCAATTTCCCGTTTGACAAACACCACTGTGACATAAACGTAGGAGCTTGGATCATGGATCAAAGAATCTACAGAATTGGTAGGTATAATTTTTTCTGCACAGATAAGAGATAAACCATCGTGTCAGTTCAAGAATATTCAAAAATATGGTAATATGGACTTGATAATGGTAATTCAGTCAGAGGAGCATTGTGCGGGGAGAAGGGGGCGCTCCCTGTCGCGTGATTTCAAAATCCTGTTTTGATAAACATTCATCTGCAAATTAGTGTTTGGCGATGTTCAAAAACTTTTTTATAAATTTTTTCGACCTGAAAAACTTGAAATTAACTGTTCTGTTTTTGAAAAATGACCCCCCTTATGGAAAAACCCAAATCTGCACAGGATCTTAAAAAATTTTTAAAAATGAGACCATGATTTTTACAGTTCCCTATCTTCAAGGGCATGATGTCCTCGGTCTTAGATTTTTCCACGACAACGATGAGTGGGATTTGAAGAAACCCGTGAGGATATCGCAAAAACTGCGTTATTGGGAGCCTGAAGACAATCAAGATGATGAATCACTGGACACTATTGTGATTCATCTGGAGCTGCAACGTCGGCACCTGTTCCATGTGATTATCTTTGTTGTCCCCAACGCACTGCTCTACATGTTGTCCGGTCTCGTGTTTGTGATTCCAGTTGAATCTGGCGAGAAAATCTCGTTCGCGATCACAATTCTTCTTGCTCAGTTCGTGTCACTGGGAATGATCTCGGATATGCTACCTTCCAGCTCGCTCAGTTTCTCCAAAATTGGATACTTCTGCGAAGCGGCCATTTGTCACATGGCACTTGACTCTTTCTTCGCCATTATAGGTATGATGGTTTTGTAACATGGCTGTTTCCAAATAAATAGTCGTTACTGGTATCGATTCTTGGACATATAGATGTCAGTTTTTGAATCAAGTCTTGATAAGTTTTGAGCATTCTTCCATTCAGTATCGATACCGCGACATATGTTACTCACGTACTCAAGATTTCTATATAGTATGAAGGAAAAATTACTTAAAAACTATTTCTAATAATATTATTAATCACACACAGGATTTCATGAAACCTAAAATTTATTCTACATTGTTATATTCTTTTAGTAGTCAAAGTTTACTTCGCTTCCGGTTCGCATCGGATGGGAATCACAACTCGACGCCTTCTTTCGAGCAGCTGGATGAAGCTACTCGGTTTACTGCCTTTGTCTGAGAAGACACCACTTCCTGGAACGAACATTAACCAGAACAATAACAATCAACAAGATGAAGAGCAAAAAAATGAGTCAAAAGAATTGAAGCTGGAAAGTCGCGAGAACGCGCAAATTCCGTGGTCTTACTTTGCGGAATTTTTAGACCGATTCTTTCTTTACCTGCACGTAATCTTGACGGTATTTGTGGTTGTATTTACTTCATGCTAAACTGTTCCGACCAACCCCTTGCGTGGAAAAACAACACTGGGTTTTTCTTTCAAAATTAGTTACCTAAAAACAATTTCAATTTAGGTACTTCAAAAGTTACTTCCATAACGAAGCCCTTTCAAGATTTTCAAAAAACATAATTAGTTTGAAATTATTGCTAGAATTTTTTCGTTTTTCAGAATAGTTTGTTGAATAGTTACGGAATGGGTGAAACTTTTTATGATAGAAGCAACAAATGAGCAAAAAACATTGACAAATTTGATATTTAATTTGATTTAAATAAATTTTTGTTCTGATATAAAACAAAAAAAATCGACTAACGGCAGCTCAAAAAGATACTTAAATCAATTTAGAATGGATTTTAACAAATTTTTACAAATTTTTACGGTAAAAAAAAAACAATTTTGTTGCCTAAAAATCAATTCAAATAAAAATAAATAGATTTTTGCATTTAGTGAAAAGTTTTAACTTCTTAACCAGGCGCGGATCTAGGAATTTCTCGAGGGGGGATTTTTTTTCTAGGATTTTTGTTAGGTCGACCAAATTGATTTTCTGAGCTCTCCCAAACCACTATAAAGATTCTAACTTGTCAAAATTTTCTCCGCCGCAGGGAAATTTTGAAAAAAAAATTTAAAAAAAACACGGCACTTTTTGGAAAATTTCGACCAAAAAGTCGCGTTTTTTCGGCGCGCGCTCCCCCCCTCAAAATTCGTATAGATTGGCGCCGGAGACGCCTTTAAGATCAGTCAGCCAAAAACGGATATCTCAAATAAGTGTAAAGGAGGGACCCTTTGGGTCCACAGGGGGTCGAATCACTGAGGGGGGGGGGGGCACCTAAATCCGCTACTGTTCGTAACCAAATAAATTTATCTTAACTTTTCTTTTTGATTCGAAATTTCGTCGAAATTTGAAAAGGTTTTTTAGAGCTACAGAGAGCAAGAGTCACTCGAAGATTGTGTTGAGTGCAAATTATTGAGTATTCAAATGCTTCAAATCTAACGGTTCCCGCGGTATTGAAAAAAATCTTTGCAGAGTTTTTTAAAATGACATTGTTTTTATAAATTATAAATACGCTTTTTTGCAGGACAAATGACATATAATTGAAAAAAAATTAGATCCATTTTTTTTATTGCAGAAAACTTACTAAGTCCACTTGCGTGCGATCATACAGTTCTTGGAAAGATCAGTGCGTGAAAATTATTGTATGAACAAAACTGGTTAATCTGCGGCGTGAGCTCAATTCTTTACATGCACCCTCGCAATTGAGCTGCCGATTTAGTTTGAACACATGTTTTAACATGAGAAAACAACTGTTTCAGCATGTAAAAACATGTGAGAAACAAGCATGAACACTTAAAAAATTTCTATTGACTAAAGCTTTTTGGCAAGTGCTTTTTCACGTACTCGGGAAAATAATTGACTATTCTCGGTCCTGGCCGCCCTCTGTTAGTGAATTGATTACCTCGAGCTTGAAAAAAATAAATAGCAAGCCACTACTTATTAGTCATTCTCAGAGTTTGTTTTCAGACCAAATATAACAACAAAAGTTTGAAAAGCATGCCTTAATAATTGAGTTCCAAATTTCTCTATGGTTTGAAAGTTTGAATATAATGAAGACGAATATAATCTGTTTGTAGTCTGTTTATATGAATATACTAAAAATTGCTTGAAAAATACTTAAGTCGGTTTAAATCATTTTCATTTTTCCTAATAATCCTAAAAAAATCAAACAAAAAAAATTGCCAAAATAGGATTTAAATCGATTTACAATCAATTGAAATCAATTTTTTCGGCTTATACCAAACTATCTGCATAAAATTGATTGCAATCCCTTTCTTTTCGCAACGAGTTGTACCAAGATATGTTTCTCCTTACTTACGGTCATAGCGAACCTAATCATACAACTGCTTTCAGCTATAATTACCCTCCTTTCAGGTTTACCCAAAAAAACTAAGCTATTTCAAAAATCATAAGCAAAAAAAATCATAACTGCTTGAACAGCAAGTGAATTTCTGGTTGTTCTGACTGCCCTTCAACCGGTATCCAAAGGTTTTATTTAAAAACAATTTGATAAACTAAAAACTTTGGACTGCCAAAAAAGATGCTGAGAATTAATTGAATTAATAAGACCAAACGGTTTGCCTCGAACTAGTTTGGAACAAAGATGAGTGCGGGATAATTTCCTGTGCATAAACAGTTTGTGTATTGAACCTAATAATTTATACCATATCTCAGTTCAAGTGGGTGCAAGGGGGAGGGTTCTCATGCTTGAAGGACCGAATGCTTGAAAAATTTCAACCAATCAAAACCGCTAAGCGTTTCTATTGGCTAAATGCCTTTCTCACAAAATCGAAGTCAATTTTAACAGAAAATGTATTAAATCAGTGGAAAATAATCAAAAATATTACAAATTGCGGGTTACAACCGCAATACTTTTCAGATAATCATCAAGACTAGGGGGGCCAAAATCATAAGAAATTTTCAGTCTTCAAATCTCATCTGCTTATTATCAAATCGGTCAATATTAACACTAATAGGCTGGATTTATTTTCTTACTTTGAGATTTTTGCGATTTACTTTGAGATTTTGAATACTCAATTCTTATTGGCTGAAAGTAAGCTAAAATTAAATTCAAGCATTCGGTCCTTCAAGCATGAGGAACGCCACCGGTGCAAGGAAAGGCGCTTTTCACTCCAAAGATTTCTGGATCGATCACCGCAGGCTATCAGAACTCTTTCTATAAGCTGTTTGAATATAAGAAAACACCTCAAGCATATGTGTTTCTCAACTTTTTGAAATTCGGAACCAAAACTGATAATATATATTCATATATTTTCTTTCGTCGGAGTACTTTGTGCTAATTGTACCGAACTTAATTTTTCTTATTAAAAGTATCGTATAAGTTTAAATTTAACATCAACTTCCCCCATCAATTTTCTTTCTAACTTTAAAGGGCATTTTTTTTGAGGATTTCAAAATACTGCGACGTGTTTTTCGGTAGCACGACAATTAGCAAAGTTTTAAAATAATTTTATATCTTATAACTTTTTGGTTTAAAGATACTGGCTCTAAATTCCTATAAGTCAGTCCTACCCTCTGTTGGTAAGCTCATTGGCGCGACTGCGATGATGAGTATATTTGGAGTTGTCTTCTAATGCGATTTGTTTTTTAGTGTGAGTTGTCTTTTGTTACGAGTTGTCGCATCATGCATATTTTCGCATACTCCTTCATATTTCGAAGGATTTGAATATTTCAACTAAGCGCCCTTCAAAAACAATGCACTCTTTATTTTTTTATAAACACAGTTGTAAACAAGTATTTTAGTTCATTGCTCCGGTCTTCAAAGGACTTTACGAAATAGTTGCTCCCAATGTTTTTTTCTCCAGACAAAATTCGAATTTTGCCAATAATTTGTGATTGCATGCTTATAAAGTATGAACAAAAGTGGTGGTCAATGCACAATATCAAAAACGTTTCTTTTCTGTTATACAATCCAAACAAAATCATAAATCTGTATTATTTGGCTTTTCTTTCGATTGAACCTTCAGATACTCCTTCGCTGGACGTAATTTCAACCAATCAAATTCGAGCATCAATATCCAAATTTCAAACTCTCGAATTGGGAGAAAAAATCATATCAGCATCTGGAAATGATCAAATGTTGATTTAGTTAAAAATATGAAAAGTAACAATTTTGGTCTGTAAAACAAACAAGACTGCTCGTATCAGGGCAAAGCCCTGAATGTTCTGACTGCCCATTAAGGTTTATGGAGCAGTAATATCATTAAAAAATTAAAAGTAATAAAACAAAATGAAATTTTTTTTCAAAAATTTGAAATTTTTTTAAATAAAAATCATCCCCCCACACGCCATATAAAGTACTGAAGGATAAATTTCGCTACTTGTAACAAATCAGTTATGGCAAATAAGCTTCGTTAAACCAATTTGGAACAATTTCTAAGACGGATTAACTCTCCGCTTACGCGTTAATAGCGCGAAATATATCGCGCGTTAATTGTCCCAAATTGGCCAAAATGGCAATCTTTAAACCACCATAACTTTACGAAAAATGACCACAGGTAAAATATCTTTTCAAATTTGAGCTCAAGACAACAATAGCTTTCGAATGATATAAAAAAATCCGTCAAAAATGGCTAGTTAAGAAGTCGAAATTTGTCTGAAGAAAAAAAACCCACCCCGAGCACAAATATTCCGTTACTTTCGTATCGAAAGTCGGAACAAAAAGACTGAGAAACATATTTGAATTCTGGTGATTTTTGACAACTCTATCGGATTTAAATTTGGAACTACTTGTACGGCTTGGAAAAATTATGCGCAAAATATTTCTTTTTCAAACAAGGCGTAAGCAAAATTTTATACTTTAAATGAACCGAGGTTGGCAACTTGATCTTATTAATACTTTGCTGC